TTGTGTGTAGTATCCCTTCTCGTTTCTCATGCGCGGAACTCACCTTGTTTTGCTTGCCTGGAGGCCCACCAAGTTTTCTTAAGCGCAGCCTGCTTTGTTTTGCATGCCAAGATTCATCACGTTCTGTGTGAGTTGAGTCCGCCTCGTTTTGCCACTACAAGAAAACATGGAATAGGTGACCAAATTTTATGTGGCGCCCAAAAATTCTTCACATATTTTTTCTATATGTGATGCATTGTTCAGAGCGTCACGCATGACTAGTTTTTTAGGTATGAAATTTGAGAACATTTAGGTGATGATAAATACATCACATATTCTAGAATGGAGTGACGAAAATCATAAGCGTCACTTAAAAATTATTTTTTATCTTTTAAGATTAAAAAGTGGTGACACAAATTTTATGAAGTGCTTACTAAAATATATGGCAAGGAACAATGGCACCCTAAAGAAGTGTGATATGTCAGGAATTTCAAAAAGGTCACATATGTGTATTCTCGGTGACGAAAGTGATTCATCACTCTTTCAACAGTAAATAAAAAAAGAAAAAAAAAAGAAACATAGTAAAGTATTAAACAAATTTGATAAAGCCCATCTAAATTCTAAACTGTTCTCACTCACTTTCCCTTTCTCTATGTCTCAGACTTCTCCCGTCTCTTGTCCCTGTGACCCAAGCCACCGACGCGTCTCCTAATCTTCTTCTCTCTATACCGCGACATTACCGGTATCTTTTAAGTTAAACGCTCAAACCCTTTCTCATCTATTCGCTGTCTATCACACTCCACAACCAAAAACCCTAGAGACCAATTCAACCAACAAGCCAAATCCACACCATGTCACGTCTCAACCTTCTTCCAGTTTCTTGCTCCACCACCGAAAACCCAAGAACCCTAACCCTTTCAACCAACTACATAAATCTATGCCAAATTTCTCCATGCCTACGAGACTACTATGTGGCCAAATGGTTAACGAATTCAATTTTTATCATTCTTTTTAAGTTAGGGTTTTGGATATGCAGGTAATTGCCTCCAAATTGAGCACGCCAACAGCCGTCGACCTCTACATCCATCTTTCAAGGACTCTAATTGGGTAAAATTTGGTTTTTAATTTTTAGATTTATATATAAATATTATATATCTCCCTCCCGCCTGTCTGCTTTCCGTCACCGTCGAAGTGCCCGGACATTCAAGCTCTAGAATCCCCAATACATGGAGCTTTTCTGCATTTCGTTCGCCAAACTTTGGGTATGTTCTCAATCTCTAGACCCTATCCTTTTCCCTTTAACTTTTTGTTTAGTCTCAACTTTATGGTGTTTTTCTTATATTTGTTCTATCACTGTAATTTTAAGTTATTTTAGGTAATGAATTTGGTTGAGAATCTTAGTTAGGTTTGTAATTTTTTTCTAGTTGCCTGGGTTTGAGGATGATTAATCCACTTTCTAAATTTTAATTACTTTGAACTTTGATTATTAGGAAACTGCAATTTCAAAATTCCAGACATGATTATATCTCCATAATTTCGATGACAGACTGTTCTAAAAAAGATTCATATGTACTGCCTGATTAGATTATTAGATTATTTGTCCTGAATCCTAAGGTAGATCTATAAATGTTGACATTTTGCTTAAACGGAATAGTTTCCACCTCATTGCTTCAATCATGTTTTGTGTCCTTAAATCCAAGAAAGCTGACTAAACTAAAATAAACTCTCCCAGTCATTTAGCTTGGGTGGTGAGATGAGGACTGAAGGAATTTTGGTCAGTTTTTGGTCCACCAATTTTAAAACAGCCACATAGCCCCAAGAAAATAGACAACAACTGATTTCCAGCAAGCTGCCCTTTTCACATCCAAACTTGTTTTCCCACTTTACAAATATTCCTTCGAACTTTAATTTGTTGTACGGAACCCCTCACACATTTTGTTCGACAAGCTAGTATATTTGCCTCTCATCATTTCTATCCCATCATAATTATAAACGTTTAAACTAGCTTGAATAGGGAAAAAGGGAAAAAGAAACACTTAAAGATCTCTAATATTGACAAAGGATATGAATATAATCTTTTTAATTTCAAGCTTGATAACACAAGTCACTTAAAGTAACTTATAACTTTCAAGTGCTTGGTAATGGCGAATTTTTATTTTAAAGTATGTTATTGTTTATGCTAAATGTAATATAAGCTTTTTAAATAATTGAGTTTGCATATCTGGTATTTTTTATTTTGAGTTGGGTTTAGTGGAGGCCATTTGGACTAAGTTGGGAATGCTCATTTTCTGGTTTCTGAATTCCTGAATGAGATCATCAATTTGAGCAGCTTTCCTTTTCTACTACACTGTGATGGCATGCCTATTCACACGAGAACAATGTAAAGCTGTGATCAACTATTGAAAGTTCCTTCATCATTAACTGGTTAGATTATAATCCCAGCCTCTGGAGATATGTTTAGCAATGGCACACATTCAGTTTGGTGATTTGGATATATTTTTCACTAGCATGTTTAGAGGGCCTTTATTTATCTTCTACAAAAGAGCACTTGTATAGAAAGAGCTTGAGAGGCAAACACCGCCTGCCCTATGAGAAGAAGCGCAAGGCAGGCTCACAAGGTAATGAAATTAAAGCACATATAAAACTCATTATGTAATTTAGATAGGCTCATCTGTTATGTTTCGTTCTTCTTAATGTAATTGTTTCTTCAATTCTTATTTTCTTCTCTTTTGTTAATGTTATTCAATTGCTCAATGCACCTACTATTGTCTAGACAAACATACACCTATGTTTTCTTCTCTTTTTTTTATGTAAGGATAAGATGAAGAAAAAGAAGGATCAAATTAAAGGTGAAAGCATTCAAGAAGCACCTGAGGTAGTGATGGTGATCTTTCAAATGACAATGATACTTGTGCTAAACTGAAGACCATGATATGGTTGATGACTTATGTATTTTGTTGTTGGTTTTAAATATGCACATGGTATACCTATTTTATTATCGACTCAATGGCTTAGAATCTTGTTAGCATTTCAATATGTCTAGAGGTGTTAGGATGCTTATGTTAGCTTTTGGGATACTTGGTGTATGTACTGGATGTTACCTAACTTATTGATCAATGAAATGTGATTAAACAAAGTATTACCTCATATTTGTTATGAATGTTAATTCTAGATGACGAAGCGGGGTTCGAATTGTTCCTAATAGGTATATGAATTTGACACATGTGACACAAATTGCGCCACATGCCAAAGGAATATGTGACACTTTCAATTTCACTTATCCTTAGCCATAGCATTTTACGATCAGATTGCGTGATGATAAATTCCTTACTTATACATTTGTTATGTGACGAACTTATAGGTCACTAACTTTTGTCTTTTGTGACGCTTATTTCGTCACACGTAAAGTTATTAAGTGACAAATGCGGCGTCACTAATACTTAAAAAATGTGGTGAGTGAAAAAATTTGTCACGAAACTATAGGTGACGTATATGTGACAAACATAGTGACGCTGGATTTTCGTCATATATAATCAAATGTGACAAATTTTCATGTTTATGTGACGAATGTGTGTCGCCACCTAAGTCATGTTTTCTTGTAGTGTGTGCGTCGATCGTCTAACCCCATGTTTTTTTGACAAAAATGCACATTTTTTATTTTCACAAAATATTTTTCCTGAGCATTAAGTTAAATTTTTTAAGAAATTTGGAAGCAGTTTTACGGCTAATTGAGCGACAAATGTATATTTAGTAGAATATTTGAGCCGAGAACTAAAAAAATAAGCGAAAAACATAGTAGTGAGTCCTAGAACAATGTCAAATGGGGTTAGACACTCAAGAATCTCAACGGAAAGTCTCACCTTAATTTCCAAAACTTCATAGTGAGGCGAAGGTGAAAATAAATAGATTGAACGGTGATTTATGTATGAATTTGCCAAATCGATTGAAAACCGTGAGTGTTAATCCACGTTTTCCAAATATTTTCCGTGAGCATTAAATAAATCTTTATAATGTATTTGGAAGCGGATTTACGATTTATCGAGCAACAAGTGTATATTTAGTAAAATATTTAAGCCAAAAAGTAAAAAAAAATAAGTGAACAAATTAGACAAAAAATAGCAAAATTTTGTTTTGTTAAATAGTCTTTTACTCTCTTTTGGTTGACAAAGAGGGTTCTATTAATATGTAGTTTAGATTTTGATAAAAGAAAAAATTAACAAAAAGAAAAATTAGGTTCAAATATCGTTAAATTAAGGTCTTATATTGTTGATTACAAGTGTTTAAATACGAGTTGTAATAGATTTTGCACGGAAAAATATATTTTGAAGGGCTTGAATATGATAGTTTATTGTAGTGGTAAGAGAAATAAAAGAAAATTGTAGAAAAATGGTTGAAATTCTTGGGGGTGGCAAAAAGTCACGCCTGATTTTGTGGCTCGTGACTTTCTGACACCCATGAATTTCAATCATGTTTGTTAATTTTTCTTTCAGTTCTCTTACCACTACGACAAACTATCACATTCATGTTCTTCAATATATATTTTTCTGTGCGTGGAGTCCGACTCGTTTTCTCAACACCCAGGAGTTCGCCTCGTTTTACGTGTGCGGAGCCCACATTGTCTTGTGTGCCTGGGTTCACATCGTTTTACATGCAAGAAGCCCGTCCCTTTTTTTGTGCATGGAGCTTGTGCTGTTTTGACGTGCACGGAGCCAGTCTCGTTTTCCACGCGCAGGGTAGGCCTAGACTTGTGCAACGTATCCCTCCTCGTTTCTTATGTGCGGAGCTCGTCTTGTTTTGCATACTGGAAGCCCATCCCGTTTTCTTGAGCCCAACCCGTCTTGTTTTGCATGTCAAGATTCACCTCGTTTTACGTGAGCTGAGTCGGCCTCATTTTGCTCATTTTGTGTGAGTCGATCCCTCCTAAAACCCTGCTTTTTGACAAAATGCAAAACTTCACAGTGGGGCAACTTACCAGTGCGGCAACTTAACTTCCAAAACTTCACAGTGGGGCAACTTAACAACTAAGACAACTCTTCCGAATGTTTAGCGCTTCTTCTAGTGCCAATTTTGACTTGACTGGCAGCACTTCTAAAAAACTTGACGAGCAAAGGGAAATCAGAGAACTTCTTCACAACTTTGATCCTCCAATGTCTATATCAACTAGACGACAACGTCGACAAGCATTTAAAGAAAAACTGCAACAAGGAATTCTACGTCCTGGTGATACTGATGTCTCATTCGAAAGTTTTCCATATTACCTAAGGTGCAGCAATTTGCTTTTTATTTTTATTTTATTTATTGTGCATTAGATCATCATATGATACTGAACTAGCTTCCCTTATTGTGATTGGTCCATATGTAGTTGGACTCTTATTGGTCAATTCTGAGCTCAGACCTTTCCTCATTTTGCATTTTTACAGTGATACAACAAAGAAGGTTTTGATTGCATCCACCCTCCCGAATTTGAGGTGTAGCAAGTTTGGAAAATATTTTTCATCACTACCTACCGGGAGCCCGCGCATATTGTTATCTGGTCCAGCAGGTACTTCTGCCATTTTAATTTCTACACATAGGCTTGTAATTCTGTGGTTGATGATGCTTGTAAATTCTGAAGTTTGATATTTTCTTTTTCTTTCCGTGTTAATTCATTATGTTTTTATTTTAACAATTCTTTTGTAGGTTCTGAGATATATCAGGAAACCTTGGCAAAGGCACTCGCGAAACATTTTGATGCTAGATTACTAATTGTAGATTCTCTTCTCCGGCATGGTGTATGTTCCTTCGTGTTGCTTTTTTAACTAGAATCTTGTTTGCTTACAAGCATATATTGGAGTTCTGTTGTTGTTGATCTACTTTTTTTCTAGCAGTTTTCTTCGTCATTCCAGGAATTCAAGTTTAGAATTGTGGATTTTTCTTTTAAATATTTCTTGGAATATACTTCTTAATAGGTTGATGAAAGTGTTTCCACTCATGCAATGCGTGAACTTCTTGAGGTACTCATCTCCTTGTGTGGTTCTGGAGGTGATGATATTGGCAATCTTGCAATCGGTGAACTTCTTGAGGTACTCATCTCCTTTACACTAACAGGAGCTCATTTAACTGTACCAATATAGTTGCTGTTAATTTGGTATTAATATCTGCACCAATGTTGTGCAGGTGGCAACCAATATCTGCACCAATGTTGTGCAGGCGGCAACCAATGAGAGTAAAAGTCTTCCTTTGATAGTGTTTTTGAAAGATATAGAATCGGTTATGGTAGGTAACCCAGATGCATATAGTGTCTTGAAGAGTAAGCTTGAAAACTTGCCAGAGAATGTTGTTGTGATCGGCTCTCATACCCAGTTGGACAATCGCAAGGACAAGGTAAGAGGCTGAGGATTTTATCAGTTAGCTGATTTTGAACTCACTATTGTAGTTTGACATTAACAGCTTTGCTTGATCTCGCTTTTCCGGTATGTGAATTTCCATTATCTTTTCCATTTTATTTTTCTTGGTGGCATGTAATGCTAATGCAAGTTTTAACTACTCATATCAGCATCTGTAATCATGCTGATTCTGATTTAGATTTGTAGACCTTGACAACTGTGCAAAGTGCATTACTTTCTTTGCCTTTGATGAGTGAGAGCGAGTCTTGAGTTTTTACTCTCTAACTAAATTTTTATCTGATTAATTTAATTCTCAATTTGCTTTCTGTTCGATTTACATTCAACTCGGTCTCACTTTCTCTTGCAAATGTACACAAATTCCTCAAGGTCAATTGAAACAGTCTGATGAGGGGGCTTTGTTCACATTGAAATATAAAATTCAACAATACTTTGCCCTCTTTTTCGTAGATGATGATACTTTTCTTCTGAAAAACCAAGATGACACATTTATTGGTGGTGTTCAGGATAACCTTGGGGGTAGGCTGCATGACAGGAGCAAAGAAACTCCTAAAACTATGAAGCAAGTTCAACTCTCTCGGATTTTCCCCAACAAAGTGACCATGCCCCAGGTAGTCAGCCTTTTTTCTTATATGGTCATTGTGCTTAGGGTGGTTCGGTATGGGATCCCATACCGAAACCCTTGTCCCGATTCCCATACCGAAATTTTCGGGAATCCCAATTTCAATACCGATCCCAAACCAAATTTTCGGGAATCCCAATTTTCGGGAATCCCGAAATAGTTTCGGGATTTCGGGACAAATCGGGAATCCCAAAAATAATTTTAGGCTTTTGGACTTTTGGGCTTTTGGACAAAAAAAGCTAATATTGGTCCAATTGGACAAAAACCTAATATTGGGCCTGCCCACTGAATGTAACAGCCCCCACATATGGGCTTAACTTTTATTCAACCAAATAAAAAAAATATTGGGCAAACCTGCAATGTTTATAAGAGCAGAACGAACATTAGCAGTTCAGCTGCATTTTCCACTTGTATTGTAGCCAAGGTTTTAAAATAAATAAAGTAACAAACCCAAAAGCAAAAAAATTAGTTACAATCCAAAGTTTTAATAATTAAGTTACAAACCAAAAGCAAAAAAACAAAGTTTCAAGTTTATGAAGATTGTTGACATCTTCGGCCCCTTCTTGTTGGCACTTGTAATTTTCCCCTTGATGTTGATGGTTGAGCCCTTCCCCTTACAATGGGTGGTCGTGGTCGTGAAGGTAGTGATTGATTTTGACGTTGTTGAACTTGTACTTGAGGTGGTCGAGGAGGTGGAGGTGGCATTTCATTTTCTTGTGTTGTATTCTCCTCACCTCCCAAATTAGCCATGTCTAAAACAATAAACCACAAATCATTTACATTGAATTATAGTCTAATAGATAATAAATACTAAGAAAATAAAAGATGAAATTAAATTGTTTACTTACTTCTTTCTAAGCGTTCAAGCTCCTCGTAGAAACATAATTCGTCAAGGGTAGGCTCCTTGTCTCACTACTTCTACTTCTGCTACTTCCTTTTCCCCCTCTTCCCCCTCTTCCCCCTCTTCTTCTATTTGTTCTAATGCAATATCCTCCTCCACATCCAGATCATCATCCCAACAATCTTCATAATAATCATTATGCAAATAATCTTGAGGTGAGGGAGTGCCTAGTTGAAGGGTACCACTAAGTTGGGTTTGTTTTCGTTTTCCTAATACCAAGACCATATGTGTACTAGATTGGCTACTAGATCCGTCCATCCTAACAAATAAAATAACAATGTACATTAATATATCACAACCACAGTTCAGCATAGTGTGTACATTAATATATCACAACCACAGTTCAGCATAGTGTGTACATTAATATATAACAATGTACATTAATAACAATGTACAATCAAAGTAAAATCTGACCCAATATATACATCCTATGATAACATTAACTTGTTACTTGTTTAAATTATGTAATGGGATTTTAAAATGGTTAATGGCATGCGATTCATCACAAATGAAGTAAGGAAAATAATGTGCACATATTCAGCAAGCTGATCACAAGTAAAACAGATATAAATAAAAGACATCACCATAAACCTACCTCTTCATGAATTTTTGTAATTTCACGAGCTAGGACGCATTTTCTGAAACACAATTACAAACTCACCAAATCAGTTTTTTGTAAAACCACTAAGTCAGTAAAAGCGCATAAATCCATACATGGAAGTTTAATTTGTAACTCACCATAACAAAAACTAATATATAATCATTTTTTTCTTAAGTCAGTAAAGCTTTTATTGAAGTTGGTATTTTTTCTTAATACCTTTATTAAAATTGATTTTTAATCTGAAGCCTTAAAAGTATTTACCTTGAAACACCAAAAACTGAAGAAGTCTCTTCAAGAAACTGTTGAAGTTTGTGGGGAGGCACATAGAATATTTGGGTCGTCCCCTCATTTGCTGAAACCGTCAACCTCTCTCTTCTAGATCCAACATGTTTAGAGAGAAATCCAACTGCAGAAGTATACTCAGTTTCAGAGTTCTATATACATCTTATCCACCAAGAAGAATATCTGCAGCATCATTTCCATGGAAAACTTACCAAACGTAAACTCATCCGTGGAGAGGCCAGATGCAGAGAGAGCAGCCACAAAAGCAGACGGCCCAGGTATAGGAATAACAGGGATGTTTTCATCCACGCACAGCTTTGCCTGCAATAAAACTTGAGAGAGATCCAATTGCAGAAGTATACTCGAGAGAGATCCCCAGTTCTGTGACCTGTCCTGTCCTGTCCGTGAAAGACAATCGCCCTAGAGAGAGAGAGAGCAGTGGTTGTGTGGTGAAGGAAGGCTGGAGAGTCAGAGACGAGAGTATGGTGTGGTGGTGGGTCGGTTGCTGGTTGGAATTCGACAGTATGGTGAGGGACGACGTTGGTGAGGGTCGGAGGCTCACGGCTGCGCTTCGAAACAAATGAACGGAGGAATACAAAAGTGAAATGTTATCATCTGACCTAAAAACAAATCGACGGCACAGATTAAATCCAAAACAATCAACGGTTGAAATAATTCTCTTATAATTAAAAAATTATATATATATATATATATATATTTTGGTTCGGTATGGGAATACCGAAAAAATGAAATGCAATACCGAATCCCATACCGAAAATTTCGGTTTGGTTTGGGATTACATCCCGAAACTTTCGGGAATTTTGGTTTGGGATTATTTTGGTTTGGGATCGGGATTTTTTTGGTTTGGTTTGGGATTTTTGGGATTTTTTTCCAGCCTACTTGTTATTGCTTGCATGAGGTAATATTTGTCGGCTATCCTGGCAGGATGAGGCTTTACTTTCGGACTGGAAGCAGCAGTTTGAACGTGATGTTGAAACTTTGAAATCGAAGTTTTATATTGTTGCCATTCACTCAGTAAGTACATCTGATCACATCTACTTTTTGCTCTTATTGTTCTTTCCCTTAAATACGCCTCTCATGTATACTGTTCTTACACCTTCTTGCGCACTTATTGAAACACAAGGATGTGAAGATTGTGCACATGTGCTTGCTAATGCTAACCGTGATTCATTTCCCTGTTGACATTTTTAGTTAGCAGTTTAGTGGCTAATGTAGTGTGTTTAGTGCTTTCGATGCTATTCCTGTATATTTTCTCGTAAGGCTGATGTTTTCAGGTTCTTAACCGAGTTTCTGTGGATTGCCCTGACCTTGAAAGTCTGTGCATTAAAGATCTAGTGCTTACAACTGAAAGTGCGTTTTCTTGAACTCAAAGTTTGTAGTGCAGAACATTTTGCAGGGAATATTGACCTTAATATTCACTTATGCGATTCATTGTATAATCCTTTCTTCAACAGGTGTTGACAAAGTAGTAGGCTGGGCTGTTAGTCACCATCTTATGCATTGTTCAGACGCTTTAGTTAAAGATGACAAACTTGTTATTTCTACTGAAAGGTTGTACAATTTCTTAGGACAGTGTAGTTTAAATATACCGTATATTCTGTTTTCTTATCATATTTTATGGTTCTGCGCTACAGTCTTAGGGATGGACTAAACATTCTACAAGGCATTCAAAACGAAAACAAGAGCATAAAGAAATCACTTAAGGTAAGTTGATATTGTGGGGAAGTACCACAAATGCCTTGTTTCGAGCTCTCTGAAGATGAAATGTAAATTAGATTTTCCATAATCAGGAAAGTAAGTGTATATATATTGGATTTAACTCCATGATATTTCAGGATGTGGTTACTGGAAATGAATTTGAGAAAAAACTTCTTGCTGATGTTATTCCACCGAGCGATATTGGGGTTAGTTTTGATGACATCGGGGCCTTGGAAAATGTGAAGGACACCCTAAAGGAGTTGGTGATGCTTCCACTTCAGAGGCCTGAATTATTTACCAAGGGACAGTTGAATAAGGTAGAAACATGGCACTCTTTTCATTTGTCCCCTTTGGAAAGTGAAACAGTTCTATGTTGGTGCTTCTTTTCTTTCATGTTTCTTATCTGATTATCGTCACTTATTCTACAGCCTTGTAAAGGAATCTTGCTATTTGGTCCCCCGGGTACTGGAAAGACTATGCTTGCGAAGGCTGTTGCAACTGAAGCTGGTGCAAACTTTATTAACATATCAATGTCAAGTATTACTTCAGAGGTATTTTTGCATTTTATCGTGGTTGTTGGAACTTGGATAAACATTTTGTGACGACTATTGAATCCATATGACCCCTTTAACTTTTGTTGCAGTGGTTTGGGGAAGGAGAGAAGTACGTTAAAGCGGTGTTCTCCTTAGCTAGTAAAATTGCCCCTAGTGTTGTTTTTGTTGATGAGGTTGGTTCATTACATTCTATATATTTGCGCTGTCCAGGGAACCTTTTTCTTTAGTTCTCGTTTGGAAAATGTGAGTTATACAAAGAGTTTTCTGGAATATACCATGCCAGTTTATGAGTGTTTGTAGAATCCTTTTGTTCGTCTTGTTTCACTCAATTTTATTCCCGTCCAATTTGATTTTTTTATTGGTACCATCATAGGTGGACAGCATGTTAGGCAGACGTGAAAATCCTGGGGAACATGAGGCTATGCGTAAAATGAAAAATGAGTTCATGGTTAACTGGGATGGTCTGCGTACAAAGGATAAAGAACGTGTATTGGTACTTGCTGCTACTAATAGGCCTTTTGACCTTGATGAGGCTGTTATTAGGAGGCTTCCGAGGAGGTAAAATCGCATGTTTGCCTGTTGTTCTGCTACTGCATCTGTTATATGTCAACGCAAGTATATTGACTTCCTGCGTACAAAATTAATTCTATGTGCAGATTGATGGTGAACTTGCCAGATGCCCAGAACAGAGAAAAAATACTGAGAGTTGTATTGGCCAAAGAAGATTTGGAAACTGACGTTGATTTGGAGGCAGTTGCAAATATGACAGATGGGTATTCCGGAAGTGACTTAAAGGTTGCCTACTAATTTTTACGAAACCCATCTAAGCTTTTTACATACGTAGTTTTATTTTTGTCGGTTATATTCTATGTAGTTCTATTTTCTCTTATGTAATGGATTGTCCTGATTTTTGTTGTGGTTGCAGAATCTGTGTGTTGCTGCAGCTCACCTCCCCATTAGGGAAATTTTAGAGAAGGAGAAAAAGGTTGGTTTGCTGGACAGTGTAACAAAAATACAAAGCCCTTGTTGATTTTTTAACTTGAAGTGGTGTGGTTGGTTACTGCAACTAAGTAGTTCTTTCTTCACGTATCGCAGGAGAGAAGTTTAGCTTTGGCGGAGAACAGACCTGTACCGGAGTTGTACTGCAGCACCGACATTCGTCCTTTGAAGATGGAGGACTTCAAACATGCGCATGAGCAGGTACGTTGTGACCTAATAATACAATACGGGGTTTTGGCTTCTTGTAGTATTCTACCGTGGTCGGAAGTGTTCGGTTGCGTTCCGGATCATTGGCTGTCTAATATTGAATTCAATGCAGGTGTATGCAAGTGTGTCTTCGGAGTCGACAAACATGAGTGAGCTCCTCCAATGGAATGACCTATACGGCGAAGGCAGATCAAGAAAGAAGACGTCTCTCAGCTATTTTATATAGTGTTTAAATACGAATTATAATAGATTTTGCATGGAAAAATATATTTTGAAGGCCATGAATATGATAGTTTGTTGTAGTGGTAAGAGAAATAAAAAAAAATATACAAAAATGATTGAAATGCTTGAGGTGGCAGAAAGTCACTTCAAAATATATTTTTCCGTGCGTGGAGCTCGACTCGTTTTCTGAGCACCCGAGAGTTCACCTCATTTTGCATGCACAGAGCCCGCCTCATCTTGTGTCTGGATTTGCCTTGTCCTGCATGTGAGGTGTCCGCATCGTTTTGCATATCAAATGCTCGTCCCTTTTTTTGTCCACGGAGCATGCGCCGTTTTGACTTGCACGAAGCTAGCCTCGTTTTTCATGCGCAGGGCTGGCCTAGATTTGTGCGACGTATCCCTCCTCGTTTCTCATGCGCAGAGCTCAAGTCGTTTTGCATGCCGGGAAGCCCACCAAGTTTTCTTGAGCGCAACCCCCCTTGTCTTGTGTACCAAGATTCATCTCGTTCTGCGTGAGCTGAGTCCGCATCGTTTTGTGTGCGTCGATCCTGCCTAACCCCATGCTTTTTGACAAAAATGCAAATTTTTTATTTTCACAAAATATTTTTCCTAAGCATTAAGTTAAAGTTTTTAAGGAATTTGGAAGCAGTTTTAGGGCTTAGTGAGCGACAAATGTATATTTAGTAGAATATTTGAGCCGAGAACTAAAAAAATAAGCAAAAAACATAGTAGTGAGTCCTAGAACATTGTCAAATGGGGTTAGACACTCAAGAATCTCAACGGAAAGCCTCGTCTTAATTTCCAAAACTTCACAGTGAGGCGAAGGTGAAAATAAATAGATTGAACGGGGATTTATGTACGAATTTGCCAAACCGACTGAAAACAGTGAGTGTTAATCCACGTTTTCCAAATATTTTATGTGAGCATTAAATAAATCTTTATAATGTATTTGGAAGCGGATTTACTATTTATCGAGCAACAAGTGTATATTTAGTAAAATATTTAAGCCGAAAAGTAAAAAAAAAAAAAAGTGAACAAATTAGACAAAAAATAGTAAAATTTTGTTTTGTTAAATAGTCTTTTACTGACAAAGAGGGTTCTATTAATATGTTGACACACCCCGACCTAGATCGAAGCATGCTGGCCGTCATGTGGGAGTGACGTAACCATGTGCACAGTGCGGAAGCAATAAAGATATTAGGGAAATGCGAAAGAATAAAAACCAAACTACTAGCAGTACTAGCTAAGATAGAGTGCTAGTGCGAGATTAAATGTGAAATACACAACTAGAGCATAATATCCTAGATGCAGTCAAGTAGGACAAGTACTAATTGTACAACACCTAAGGGTGATCCTACATTTATGATGTTTTGTCAGAACCCTTGTCAAAATCCTCGTGATCCAGCAAAGCACTTATACCTAAAACCTGGAGGGGCGCAAAACAAAAAGTGTGAGTGGGCAAAAACAAAGCTTTTCAAAATCATTTCATTTCTCAAAAGTTCTAACCCCTTGCCGTAAAACCTGTATAATTTTCCCAGAAAAATATAATATATGCTATATCAGAATTCATGCTCAGGATGAAAATCCATAGAAATATATCATGCCAAAGTATCTCAATGAAATGCCATAAGTAATCTAGTTAAATATATCAGTGCCAGATATCATAACAACTGGATCTACCTAACTTGACCTGTACGGCTGAGTACATAGCTCATAACCAATCTCAATCATATCAAATCAAATCCTGCACACGAGTTGGAACCACCTAAAGTGGTCTGTACGATAGGATTAGGTGTAATATAAATATGCTCTAGTGCTACGATCACGTGAAGACTGTGCGAATAATCGCCGGTCACTTACGAGTCGGAACCACCCAAAGTGGTATGTACGACAAGCTTGTGCACCTAACTTGGATCCAAGGTGAGCATATGGTGCGGGAGGTGAACATCACGTGAATGACTGTGCCCTAACCTTGGACGGGAGCACTAACACCAGGGTGCAAGTTTATGAGCTCTCAATACATCACATCATATCTCACATAACTGAAGCAATCACATATCTTTAATTTATGAACTTACCTGGCACTTACCTGTGCGTCCACAACACTAATCATGAATATATGCAACTACTAATGCATAATTAAAATAGGCAAATACTTGCATGGCATTTCCAAAACGTAATTTCATTTAAACACATTTTCTGGGAAAAATCTCAAGTATATAGGTATATACGGAAAACCAAAAGCCCACTCACTGATATGTCAAAGGGTATTAGCCCCCGAGCCTCGATTGATGGTGCTCGTCCTCAGGATAGGTCTCACCTATATGCGAAATAACTTAATAAAAGTTATTTAAAGCACATACAAAAAACTAGGAAATAACTTCTCATACAATGCTCAAATGGGGTTTTTGAATATACCAACGTGATCTACTCAACACCACGAATATCCCCATATTTTTAGAAAAAATTTCCGACCACTCACGTTCCCGCCAAGGCATGGCTCAACGCGCCTCCATGTGCGGCCAAACCCTAACCGAAACTTAACTGCCGTTAGGAATATTTCGTTAAAACCTTAACATAAATTAACGGCGTTACCAGACGCCGTTAGAATATTTCGTCAAACTTGACAGAATATTCCCTTCTCCTTCCTTGGTTCGCCGGAGTTCGGCACCGGTCGCCGCTGCACTCGCCGATTTCTAGAAAAATTTCAAATCTTCATATCTCTTTTGATTCTCAACCAAAATTCACAAAATTTATACCAAATTGAAGCTTAGGATGAGAGGAACAAAACCTTACCACTTTGGGGACCTAAGACCAACGGAATCTCGCTAGAGAAACCTCGATAATCCGACCAAAAATTGAAACTCGCGAACTGGGACTTCCAAACATCCAAAACACTCCAACTTTCTTTCCCAAGCTTCGTGAAGATGTTTTAAGGCTTCCTATAACCTTAAAACTCCTTGAAAACTTCGAAATCATGAGTGCATGAACAGTAACCCAAAACTGGGTTCTCGGGAAAATGAGGCCTTCACATCCAAATAATAGTATCAATGGATTCCTGGGCTCTCAAGGAACTTGAATATGGTCTCCAAAGGTTCGATCTGAGGATGAAAGTGAAGGTTCAAGGTTTGTCCGTACAATTGTACGGAAATGGAAGAAAATGCGAGAGGGAGGAGAGAGAGTCAACAGGATAGGGTGAGGGTATGTGTGTGTGGTCCAGATTGGTCCCCAACCAAAGACAAATAAACTTAAAAAAATCTAATTGGGTCCAATCTATTAGGAAATGAACTTAATTGGTCCAAAAACTTAGCTTAAATCACAACCACAACCCAACGCTCAATGGCATTTTAGACTTTTCACACCGCCGATAAAAAATATTTCGGGACGGGCTGTGACATATGTAGTTTAGATTTTGATAAAAGAAAAAATTAACAAAAAGAAAAATCAAGTTCAAATATCGTTAAATTAAGGTCTTAAATTGTTGATTACAAGTGTTTAAATACGAATTATAATAGATTTTAAACGGAAAAATATCTTTTGAAGGGCATGAATATGATAGTTTGTTGTAGTGGTAAGAGAAATAAAAGAAAATGTAGAAAAATGGTTGAAATTCTCGGGGGGTGGCAGAAAGTCACACCTGACTTTGTGGCTCGTGACTTTCTGGCACCCAGGAATTTCAATCATGTTTGTTAATTTTTCTTTCAGTTATCTTACCACTACGACAAACTATCACATTCATGTTCTTCAATATATATTTTGCCATGCGTGGAGTCCGACTCGTTTTCTGAGCACCCAGGAGTTCGCCTCGTTCTAAATGCGCAGAGCCCGCATAGTCTTGTGTTCTAGGTTCACCTTGTTCTGCATGTGATGAGGTGTCCGCATCGTTTTATGTGCCAGAAGCCCATCCCTTTTTTTGTCCATGGAGCCTGCGTCGTTTTGACGTGCGCAGAGCCAGCCTCGTTTTCCGTGCGCAAGGCTGGCCTAGATTTGTGTGACGTATCCCTTCTCATTTCTCATGCGCGAAGCTCGCCTTGTTTTGCGTGCTGGAAGCCCGTCCTGTTTTCTTGAGCCTAGCCCTCCTTGTTTTGTGTATCAAGATTCGCCTCGTTTTGCATGAGTAGAGTCTGCCTCATTTTGCTTGCGTCGATCCCGCCTAAAACCCTACTTTTTGACAAAAATGCAAAACTTCACAATGGGGCAACTTAATTTCTAAAACTTCACAGAGGGGTTACTTATCAACTAAGTCTAAGACCACTATTCCGAATGTTTAGCGGTTCTTCTAGTGCCAATTTTGACTTGACTGGCAGCATTTCTAAGATACTTGACGAGCAAAGGGAAATCAGAGAACTTCTTCACAATTTTGATACTCCAATGTCGATATCAACTAGACGACAACGTCGACAAGCATTTAAAGAAAAACTGCAACAAGGAATTCTACGTCATGATGATATTGATGTCTCATTCGAAAGTTTTCCATATTACCTAAGGTGCAGCAATTTGCCTTTTTTATTATTATTGTGGATCAGATCATCATATGATACTGAACTAGCTTCCCTTATTGTGATTGGTCCATATGTAGTTGGACTCTTATTGGTAAATTCTGCGCTCAGACCTTTCCTCATTTTGCATTTTTACAGTGAAACAACAAAGAAGGTTTTGATTGCATCCACCCACCCGAATTTGAGGTGTAGCAAGTTTGGAAAATATTTTTCATCACTACCTACCGGGAGCCCGCGCATATTATTATCTGGTCCAGCAGGTACTTCTGCCATTTTAATTTTTACACACAGGCTTGTAATTTTGTGGTTGATGATGCTTGTAAATTCTGAAATTTTTATATTTTCTTTTTCTTTCCTTGTTAATTCATTATGTTTTTATTTTAATAATTCTTTTGTAGGTTCTGAGATATATCAGGAAACCTTGGCAAAGGCACTCGCGAAACATTTTGGCGCTAGATTACTAATTGTAGATTCCTTCATGGCCCTTTTTTAACTAGAATCTTGT